CCTACATGGTGCAGTGGCCTGGAGAGAAAGCTGCTGTGCCCCGAAGAAGCCCAGCAACTTCACTGCCAACAGAGGGGAGATGTCCCAGGGTGCCTGACGGGTGCTGGTGATGGACAAGGGTTGGGTGCCTCACGCAGTGCTCACCACAACTCTGGGAGTGGGTCTAAACATCACCTATACCCCACAGGAAGGAAACTGAGGCTCGGGGGGACAAGGGACTGGGGGGAGGTGAGGCACAGAACAGAGCTAGCTTTGAGGGGTCCCAGCTGCCCATCTGCCCCTGGACTGCTACACAAAATGGCAAGGACGGGCCACTTCCAGGCAAGTTGCCTTGGATGCTGGTTTTATCTCCCTGAGTCCCTCCAGGTTTCTCTTGTGAATGAGGGGTCCTCCTGGGACGTTCCACCCGCAGCGACCGAGTGTTGGAACAGCCCCTGAATCATCCGGTCCCTGCGCCCGGGCCTAGTGTCTCATCTGCAGACTGAGCAGACCTCGCCGGCCCAGCCTGAAGGTGGGTCTGCGTGGGGCTGGGGGCGTGGCCGGGCTGGCCCCACTCTCAGGGGAACCCTCCGGCCGCACAGCCACCCACAGTGAAGTGGAGGGGCCAGGGCCTGAAATAGGCGGGAGGATTCTGGGCCTCCCAGAGGCCCCCTCCCCCAGGAGGAGCAAAGCCAGCGCAGGCCTGGGCAGCCGTTCACACCAACCTGTCAGGCCAGTTTCAGTAGAGAGAGGCTCAAGCTTTGCCAGAAATTCAGTCGCCTCTCATCCTGAGAGTGTCCTCCCCACCCCTGACAGCTGGGTGTGGGGTTCTGTCCTCAGCTTAGGCTGGCCACACAGCCAGTTGCCCCGTGGGTCACTCAGGTGGGGCGCAGCAGGCTGTGTCCAAGACTGAAGAGAGAAGAGGCCCCTGGAGGTTTCACCCTCCTAACACATCCCCACACCCCGGTTTCACCCCAACCTCCCTGCAGTCCGGACCGTGTGCTATGCGCTTTGTTCTGGGGACTTTCCCTCAATCTCACTGAACTCGTACTATTCCTCGGCTGGGAAACGGGGAGCGTGACTCCTGGTGTGCAGGCCTGGGCTCTTCACTGCCGCTAGGCACACCTCCGCCTGTCTCCCCTTGGGGACGACCCTCACGTCCACTCCTGGCCTGTTGATCTCCTAGTCCATTCTCCTTGCCCCTAGTCCCTCCCAAGCTGCCCACCTGCTGCTCTATGACTATCCTGCCCAGATCCAGCCTTATTCTCTCACTCGCCTGGCTGGGCCATCCCGATGGCCTCCTCATCAGCCCCACCACCATCTCCACAGTGAGGTGCTTACACACACAGCCTTGCCCTGCCTTCCCCAGAGCGATGTTCACAGGCCTCTCTCATATCTTGCCCGTGCCTTCCCCCGGGGTCCAGGATACGGCTTCCCAAACCATTCCATTCTGCTTCCCTCCAAAGAGTCCACCACCCTGTGTCATTTGACCTGGAATAACCTTCTTCATCAGTTCTGCCAGGGCAAACTCTTACTCACCCTTCAAAGCCCAATTCAAATGCTCCTTCCCTAAGAAGCCTTCCCTAAGTTCCCCAGGCTGTAGTCATGCTAGCTTTAGGTACCCCGCTGCATCCTGGGGAATCTCCCTGGAGCTTGAGTTCTACTAGGTCTCTCCAGCCTAGAGAAGAGAAATACTTTCCATAACAGCTTAAAAACAGCCATTCTTTGGCTTCTTGTGAAGTCTTTCTCTCTCTCTCTCTCTCTTTCTCTCTCACACACACACACACACTATGCTTCCCTTCCCGGGGAAAGCACCCTGGGGGTGTCTTTGAAGAGACAAATCAGCCAAGTGGGATAAAAGGACACAAGCAGGGCTCAAAGCTCAGCCCCTCCAAAATCGCTCTAGGAACCCAGGCAAATAGTTTAACCTCTTGGAGCCTCAGTTTTCCCAGTTGTCTAATAGAGATAGTGGTAGAGCCCATGCCATAGTAGGGGGGGAGTGGGGAGCCTGGCTTTGAGGGTCACAGAGTGAGCGGAAGCCGATGCTCATCTCTGAGCAAGAGACTCAGCAGGCCCAAGGCGGGAGGAGCCTTTTTGGTGTGGCCAAAGCTTTATGCTCAACGGAAAGATATTTGCTTCCCTGGACCAGGTTTAATTGAAGCAGGCAGGGCCCAGAGCCCAAGAGGTAGCCACTAAGGGCTGAGGGAAGTTGGAACTGCTGTGACTCCTCCAGGCAGTCCTCTAGGACTGTTCTACCATACAGTCCCCACTGGTGAGGCCCACACTCGGATGGTGTGGCTGGAGGGACAGTGATACGCAGCCAGTTCTCCCAGGCAGAGCCCTGTTCTGGGGACTTTCCCCATGCCCAGCCCCGATGAGCGGCACTGGGCCCTCCCGTCACCAGAGCAGGGCTCCTCCTCCGTCAGAGGTGAGGGTTTCACTCAGAGCCTGGACTGGGCCAAAGCGTTGCTCTTAAAAGTGCCTCTTGGACCCCAGCCTCCTCCAAAGAAGCTCTTCACAGACGCCCACCCCCACCAGCCCCACTTCTGAGCGACATCACTGTGTGCGTGTGTGTGTGTGTGTGTGTGTGTGTGTGTGTGTGTGTTGACCTTTGCACTTGGCAAACATTCCTTTGTTTTTCTTAGCTCCTTCAGGTGATGGCAATGTCAGTAGAACAGGTTCTCGGGAAACCTTTTCTCCAAAGCCCCAGAGAGGGGAGCCCATGGAGGCCTGGGTTAGAGCAGTGTGGGTAGGAGACGACAGGG